CCTTAACTTGATTCGGCAAATGAGACAAAAAATCTATATCATCACGTATAAAACTCTTTACCTCCGTACATAGAGGTTTCAGAAGCAAGTCTAAAAAATGACTTAAACGTTGAGTAACGCTTTCCGGACCACCAACTATAGGTCTGAATTTAAGATCGTTGGGAGATTTTAGGCAAATGTATTCAGCACCTTGCTCTTTGATAGCTTTTGAAATTAATTCACTTTTGTGTATCTTTGGAAGACCATAAAAATAACTTGAGCGATATACAAAGTCTGTAAGATATTCTATTTCCTTATCTTTAAAATTTTCTCTATGCTTTTTCACAAGATTCGTAATATAATTCATAGTCTCTGCATCTGTGTCAGAGGGAATTTCTTTATAGAATTCATTATCTAATAACATTTCTATAATCTTATCATAATAATACTGAGCATCCATAACTACAACCATACCGCCTTTGTCTGCCTCCTTTATCACAATAGACTTATCACTCATTAATTTTTCTAAAGCTTTACGTTGCTTATATGATAAATTATTTTTAATCTTATTCTTACATAATGGATACGTTTTTAGATCTGATATTGATTTCTCTAAAAAATTGTCGGCACATTTTGGCGGATTCCATTTCGACTTATTTTTGACTAATGGTGGGTCATCATTGTCTTGTGTACCACTGTATTTTTCTACTAATCTTAATTTACGACAAAATTGTTGAATATCGTTTTTCAAATCGTCGATATCTGCTTTAGGTGTAGGACAAAATTTTAAACCTTTTTTCAAAATTTCAATCTCTTCAGTGAGTAAATCTTTAGATGACAAATTGATAACTTTAGGTAGCAAATTGAGTTTGCTATCTTTACTCACAGAATGTTTATTTGTTTTTTTCTTTGAGACCCTCAGCCTTCGTCTTTTTTTGCGCCTCGGTCTAAAAAAGACTTCTGTCCGATATAGGTTGTCCCCTTGTACGAAACCGGAAGTGTCGCACTATAGCTCATCCTTCGATCACGAGGTCTTAATATTCTACTTGGCGGCGTTGGTATTTTCTTGCTATAATGTTGAGTCCTGTCCGGTGTGCTCATCCGCTACCTTCCCGTCAATATAGTAGGTGACATGACAGCTTCTGAATAGGTTGTATGTTTAGACTCAACCGTTGCCGATATCTGCTTTTTAGGAAGTGATGTTGTACTTGTAGGTAGTTTAACTGTACATGGTGGCGATCTTATAGGTTTCTCCCTTTCGGTGACGAAGATTTCTTCACCAAAATTGTCTGCAAACTCCGCATACCACTTTTGTTTTGTTAACCATATCTCTGCTGACTTGTTTTCTTGATTATAACACTCGTTATTCCACATGTCAATCAATAAATCCACCACCTTTGGATTTCTTGTTTTCTGTCGAATGTCATTTTCGATGTCAAGATCTAGAGATGAAAACTTTTCCTGGAATCTGCGGGCTTTGTTTTTCATTATCTTGATTTCAGATTCGAAACGTAAAATTGCCGTTTCTCTCCGAATTTTACAATCCGCTTCAGTTTCTCCAGCAATATACCTCGGACGAAACTTTCTGGGAAGAACGGTCTCCGAGTTTCCCAGCCATCCTTCATATATTGCAGTGGTGTTGGCAGTTCTTAAATGGTTCCAAAAAGCCTGTTTCCGTTGGTTTAAGATATTTTTCCAAGTATTGCCCATTGAATTCTTCACCTGTTTTGCTGATTTTTTTACCGACTCCTCATCTTCATCTTCATGAAACACATTTTGTGTTGAAATCTGACAATATTTCTCCTTGTTGACGGATTCATTTGGAGATTGTCGTAATGTCATCAAAATTTCATAAATGTCCTCAACAGCCGAATGCACTAATGATAGCTTTTCAGTTATTTCTTCGATTTTCTTCTCCATCCCGGTCCATCTATATATTGGTCATATATATCAGTTTATATATATATATATATAGTTTATATATATATATAATAAAAAGTGATTAAATGTCCATGTGAAGGAAGTAAATATAGAAAAAATAAAATTAACGACCGACTAAAAAACTAGCTGCTTTCACCCTTCACAGGGCTCTTCAGGTTTGAAGAGCCCTGTGAAGGGTGAAAGCAGCTAGTTTTTTAGTCGGTCGTTAATTTTATTTTTTCTATATATATATATATATATATAATCGTTCTGACCAAATATCCCTTCTTTATCCTCCATCGGCCCTAGAGGGGGCAGCCCATCATTGTATAATGTGAATCCCCCAACTCCTAAGAATATTTCGACAAAATGGTTTAAATGGCCACATTACCCCTTTCTGACCCAACCATTTATACAAGTTTGATTTTTCTATCACCTGATACTGGGCACGGGAAAACACTCCTCTTTTTCACTTTCACGGGACAAAAGAAATATTTATGAGATTGAACACTATTTTCATAAAGTGCATCCATGCACTGACGAGTTAACAAAACACATATTTGTAAAATCACTTAATTAGATTATCGAAGTTCGTGGTTAAATTAATTATTAAAACTCTATGAGATCTGAGTTTGCTTTTAAACCCATCATTTTAGGCCATGCGTTACCTTTATTCTTGCTTTCCATTTTTATTTTTTTCATACTCTGCTAACTCTTAGTAAATCATTTGAGTCATCAAACATAATAAACATTACTGGCAAATTAATATATTGAACTTGACTCTGAACCGTTCACTACCAGTTTTTGTTTTAGGTTCTTCAAAAAGTCTTTTATCCAGTTGAGTGTTTCGCCTTCCAAACCGAAACTCGAAATTTTATGTAGTAGCCTTCTGTGAGACACTTTGTCGAAGGCTTTGCTGTAATCTAGGTACACTACATCAGTTGTCTCCTTTGTCGAGCCCTACCATCCAATCTTCCATGGATTCTGGTAGTTGGGTTGAACATGATCTATTTATAGGGCCTTTGCAACCAGCCAATACATTCCTTAACTCCCTGGGAGCATACAACCGGAGCCGCCATTTCGGCGCTAACAGTTAGCATTCAATAATTCTAGCACTGCCCAACCACGTACTCATTTACAGCTGAGTAGACTGGAACAAGCGGAGTAAAGTATCTTGCTCAAGGATACAACACATTGCCGTGCCGTGGCGCGAACCCGCAACCCTTTGCAACCCTTCGATAGTTGTTATATATGTACCGAAATTACTCAATTCAGCTACGCTTTGTTAACACTTGATCAAAGATGGGCGAGAGTCTTTGAGCGTAGCTGAATTGAGTCATTTCGGTACATATATAACAACTATTGTACATACGTTTCCAGTGTAGCCGAAATCGACAACGATTTTATGGACAACTCGTACACATTTTACACCTGTGTGTGCAAACGCTTCATTGGTCATTTGTCTGATGAAGGTGACAGTGGACATATCGTACTAGTCATCGAAACGTCACATAGAAAAAAAATTTGGTTGTGTAAAAAGAACTTCTCATAATCAGTTGTCTCTTGTTTTCAGTATCAGATCGTCCAAGGTTTTAATATTAGGTGGTTCTGAGTTTTAATAACAGGTTGCCACCAATGTTTGATAGCAGCTGGTCCTTAACGTATGATACGATGCTAGGTTGACCCTTAATTATTTATCAGGGCGCCTTTTTTATAATTAAGTCGTTATGAGTTTTAATATCTGAACGCGTGAAGTTTTGATATCGGGTGGACCTAATATTAATATCGGTTGGCCGTAAACCAAAGTACAAAGTATGATATAATGTCGCCATAAGCTTTCATCACATCCTTTTTCAGGTTAAATATTAGATAACTTTAACGTTTGATGTCGGATAGCCCTGACTTTTGACATAAAGAGACACTAAAAGTATTAACCATGTCATCTAGACTGACGTCAAAAGCCATGTTCTAATTTATAAATTCTTTATTTTGTTTTATTTATATTATTTCTATATCATTTGATAAATAAAACCAGGAAAGTATGTGTGTTTGGCTAACAATGGCCCAAATGTAATCGTTCATGATTATCCACATGTTAGTTCGGGTTACCGCTGTATTGATAATTCAAACACTGATACTTATACTTCAAGAATGCATGTACAGGTAAGTGTTTTCATGGATTATAATATTGAATGCAATTTTGCGCCACTCAAATTATGCATCAAAAAGTCACTTTTCAGACAAAATAAACGATATTTTCGACACACAATTACTGCAAAGGTCATTATTGAAATTGTTCTTGAAATGGGTATACCGGACAACTTTAATATTCTTTTTCATTTTGGGGAAATGTTATGAGCCTATCTCATACTACATTGACACAAGCCTGTATGAAATACCTTATTAATGTTTCTGTAACTATATATTAATAATGTGTTTTAAGCCATTGACTGTTTTGTGTAGCCATTGACTGTTTTGTGTACGTCACTGAAATATCCGTCACGTAATTATGTAACATCATAAATTTGTAAATCTTGTTGCTGTTCCGTCGCTTAGAGTGTGTACTAAAATGGCGAAATATCGGTATCGGGTGTACAGCGAAATCTAACCGCTACGAATATATTTCGTAAAGCTAAATCTAATAAAACATTATGTTACATTTTACTATTGAATGCAAGGGTTTAAAAAACGCCTTACCAACAAGCCATACAGAATGTCATTACACCTACCTATACAGCAAACACGCCTGTACATGTCCAGTAGATTGACTCGGGACGATTTCATTGGCGATAACATATTATTGGCAGTAATTAAAGACGGTGGTGGAAAAATCAACATTCAAACATTGTTTATGATTCATGTCTGATATATTACACATATAAATGGCAATCTCAAGGTATTTCCGTTTATGCATTTACATGTAGCCTTTATGTTTGTGCCAATATTTAACTGATACACTCGGTCAAATATGCAAGTTGAAAAAAGTAGTTTTAGTTAAATATCCGTTAATAATACTTCTGTAACTGTCTATAAATAAATGCGTTGTAAGCCATTGACTTCTTTGTGTACGTCACTGGAATATCCGTCACGTGATTATGTGACATAATACATGTTTATGTCTTGTCGCTGCCCGTCACTGTGTATGTGTTCTATAATGGCGATATGTTAGGGATATATTAACTACCCATGTACCAAGATACCGGAGTCGTCACGTAGCCTGTAGGTATGTACCAGTATTTAATTAATTGACTGATAATTAGGACATTTACTTAAGTATGTATTGCTAGTAAATTACTTCTGGTTTTGTTTTGTTCATCTCAGATCCCTTGGAATATAATAGGGGGGAATAACCAGTCGTGTTCGATAAACATTATACAACTTTCTTCGTCATTTCTACAAATATCGGATTTGATATTCCATTATGAACATAGTTTAATATGTACATGTGAAAATATTATTACCAAAGGTCAAAGTTCAATATAGCTGTAAAAGTCTACTGGGTTTTAACACAAAATAATCTAAATGACGATATTCATATTTATTTTTACTGGTCCTACCTGAACACAAACGCACAGCTACAATATTTACAATGTGCGGTATACAATACTGTTAGTGTGTGAGATGTTTGTCTATTTACATACAAATAAACAGAAAATAGTTTTCGTAGTGTTCACTTGTTGTAATAACATAACGGCCATTCAGCTATATCTTCAGTTATATCAATGATTTCAATTTCAAAAGTATTTTATTGACAATACATATATAATACAAACATATAAGTTAACATTAAAGAAGATATTAGAACAGTATTGACAAAAGAATAAGACAACAGGCTTTGCCTATATCAGTCATCTTCTATTTCCGGTAGCTATGTACAATGCTTAGATATATAACATGTTGTGATTCGTTTTCCTCTCACACTCATGCACACCAACACCCACACCAGCTTATGTCTAATACTCGTTATTTAAGGGATAAAACTTGCCTGAATAATAATAATAATAATAACAATACATGAATATTCATTTGGAATTTATCTACCACGGATAAGTAACGAAACGTTTTGATGATTTAATATAAGAGTCAACATGTATAAGAATAGTTTTATTTAATTGGTCCGATGCATTACTAATACCATATACTAAACAGTGCAGATTTAAATATCCTAATAGATTATAAATAGTGGTAATATGATGCCTAATATTTGAATACAGAGGACATTGAAAGAAAAAAAGTATTAGATCTTCCCTCTGTATACCACATACACAGGAAGCATCATCAATCAGATGGTCTTGTAACTTATCAAAGTTAAGATCACTTTTAAAATTTCTTAGCTGACATAAAATGATGTTAAGTTTCCTCGGAACACAGTTAATAAAAGTTTCTGAGACGGATGTATCAAAGGTTTTTTTAAGTTTCTTTTTAAAAGATGAAATTGAGATGGAGTCTCGTACAGTGCTATCAAGTACATTCCATTTTACCATTGTATAAGGGAAGAAGCTATTCATATAAGTAGTAGTTCTTGTCTGTGGTATATTAAATAATCTGTTATTTCTGAAGGTATAGTTATTATTTACATTTAGAAATGGTTGAATGATATTATCGAGATAAGTTGGAGGGTAATTATTAAGAATCTTATACATTAATGTTAGTTTATGATTTTGTCTTCGTGTGTGTAATGTTTCAAGTTGTGTTTCAGTATACAGAATGTGATGAGATGTACCTCGTCTGAGGCCAGTAATTAAACGCATAGCTTCTTGTTGAACTGATTCTAAAAGATCTGATTCAGATTTGGTACAATTATCCCATACTATATCAGAATATTCTAACACTGGTCTTATATAAGAGACATATAATGTTTTTAATGTATTCCTATCAACTGTAGTTTTTAAAATTCTAAGAATACTTAGTCTAGAGTTCGCTTTTTTATAAATATTTGAAATGTGATCTGACCATGTTTCTTTACTGTTGAATGTTAGTCCTAAGTGAGTATGGTGTTCATGTTGTGCAATCGGAGTATTGTTAAATAGCAGTTGAGGATGATTGTTAATGTGTCTACGAGAGAAGTTAATAGCTACAGTCTTATTAGGATCTGCAATCGCTTTGACCATTCAGAGATTGAGTCAAGATCATCATTAAGCATGTTAGTAGGTGTTGTAAGGTCATTGTTATTATTTACTATTACATAGAGAGAGGTATCATCTGCAAATAGTTTTATATGGGAAGTTACATTATTAGTAATATCATTAATAAAAAGAAGAAAGAAGAAGGGACCAAGGACAGATCCTTGAGGAACCCCTGAAGAAATAGGTTTGGTACTAGATTGATAACCTTCAAAGATAACCCTTTGTTTTCTGTCAGATAAGTAAGCTTTAAACCAATTGTATAATGTTACCTTTAATACCATATGTTTTTAGTTTATATGATAGGCCCAAATGCCATACTCGATCAAATGCTTTACTTATGTCACAGAAAACAAAACGCAAATCTTTACCTAGGTCTAAATTACTACTTATAGTGTTATAGATATCAGCTAGTTGATTAGTAGTGGAGTCTTTGGGTTGAAATCCTGACAGATGTACACTTAACATATTGTGACTTGAAATATAATTAAACGTATATTTAAAAATATTCTTTTCTAACATTTTGATAAAAATAGATGTAATAGCAATAGGTCTATAATTATTGAGATCACTGATATCTCCTTTACCTTTATAGAGAGCAGTAACATTAGCCGTTTTTAGTACATCAGGTATTACTCCAATAGATAAAGTTCTATTAAATAATAGTTTGAGTGGGTATACT